GTTAATAGAATAGTTTTAATTTCACTTTAGTTGTTTTTACAAAATACAGAGGTTCACTTGTACTAGCTCACTAGATTTTTATCATCTAGAAAGGCTACAATATTATGAAGGCTTTTGATTATTTCAAAGGAAAAAATTACATAGAGTAAAACCTAACTTTATGTTCAGTAATTATAGAATAATTTAAATGTATGTTTTAATTTCATGTCATGGGAAATATTTTTAAAGCACTAATCAAGCTTAGTTTTTGGAAAGAATTTTTTAACCTAATTGCTTTTTTATTGAAATACCATAGTTTCTCCTTAAGTAAGGGGATATGTTCCAAGACCCACGTAGATGCCTGAACCCAAGGAGAGTAACTAACCCTATACATACTGTTTTTTTCCCTGTACATACACACCTATGAGAAAGTTTAATGCCTTTCCCATCTTATGAACTTAACACACACTGTGACTGTAACTTTTGCAGTTTGAGGTGTAACAGCAAAACTAGCACAGGTTTCCTTTTCCTTCTTCACAATTTCAGGGATAGAAGATTCGTTCTTACCATAGATCTTGCAACCTCAGCATACGATTTTTCTTCTTATTACATAAGCCAAGAATTTTTTTCATTTAAAGGAAGCACTTTCCAGCTTCTCTTTGGCATATCCAAATTGCCAGCATCACTACTCTTGTGCTTTAAGTAAAATAAAGGTGGCTTGAACACAAGCACTGCGATTCCTCTGCAATCGATCTGATCGCCAACATGGCTCCTAAGTGACTAACGGTGGGTAGTGTGTACAGCCTGGGGATGCCGGACAAGGCATGATTCACGTCCTGGGTGGGACAGCGCAGGACTTCATCACACTACCCAGAACAGTGTGAAATTTAAATCATGAAATATTTATTTCTGGAATTTTGCATTTAATATTTTTGGGCTGCAGTTGACCACGGGTAACTGAAACCATGGAAAGTGAAACCTCGCATAAGGAGGAACTACTATAATCACATTAATATTCTTTTCTTAATACGTCTTCATGTGAAGTATTCGTTCATTAATTGTTTAACCTGTGACATTTTCTAAGAAAACTGTTTATACAAAGACAATACTTTGAAAAATATTTCAATGTTTATTTTTGGGCTGTATTTCCTTTAATTTCTTGGCATGAAGAGAAATGCCTTTCACATTTTCACTTGAGTATGTATAGATATATTATCTACCTATTCTTTCATTTAAAAAAGAAGAAACCCAAGAGCTGCCTCATATTCACCGTCTCTGTCAGTTATATATGTCAAAAAATATTTCCTATAACAGTTTTCTTAATTCAGATAGTGCTGAATGGAACCAATATTTTTAATAAAAGTAGGAGTAGGCAAAAAGTTAAATTTTTAATTCCCTAGATCAGTAAAACTAACACATCACTCCTCTCAGAGTAATACAAATGAGGAGCTTGTCTAGAGTTTGTTAAATAAGACTTGAAAATACTCTACTCATGTTACAGAGTGGGGCAGAATGAGATGAGGGTGACAGATGGATAATAGTGAAAATAGGAAAAGGAAAACAAGCAAAGAAAATGAAGAATAAAAGGAAAAGACATAAGAGAAATGAAAGGGAAAGAGAGAACCATGGGAACTGTCATTCATTCATTCATTCACTCATTCATTTTACAAATATTTATTTTGTGACCAATGTATCAGGCCCCAGGGATTGGAAGCAGAGAATCAAACAAATCCTTGTGCTCTTCTGGTAGATAAGCTTGTCATCCCATCCACTGGGCTAGTGGAAAAGAGGATGGAACCCCATGAATTAGCATGGAGAGAAGGAGTGGACAGATATGAGCAGGGACCTGCAAAGACTGGATGCCAAAGGACTAGTGAGATGGAGGGTTTACGTCTACTCGTTCCTGTTCATGGCACAGAGCTACATCCATCTCTCCTCTTCCACACCTAGACTACCTGTGATTTGTTTCTGGCCTCTTCCCTGCTCCTTTTCTGGATATTGACCCTCCGGGCATACTGAGGACCACACCATGCAACCATCCATCTATCAGAAAAAGCATGCTTATTAGTGTCTTGCACGTCTCAGGCATTGTGGTAGGCATGGCAACAGAGTGGTAACTGAAAACTATCATGGCCTTCTGAGTATTTTACAATCCAGTTATGTGTGGTGTCAAGTAAATGGGTAAATAATGACCCGGTGTGATAAATGCTGCTAAAGAGAGAAGTAGAAAGTCAGCCAAATTTGAGGACTAGGTCAAGTTTCCTGAGGGAGGAGATGGCCACGTTGACATCCCCCTGGTTAGCTCTTCCTTGTGAAAAATTCCACCAGAATAAACCTTTTGTAGAAAAACCTTTCATTTGCTTCACAGTTCAGAAAAAAAATCTCAATTTACATTTGATTCAAGAGTTCACAAGTGAGTGAGATCTGTTGGGCCCGGTTTTTCACTGGTGGGTTGCTTCAGGCAGAGTCCTGATTACGCTTTAAAAATATGTGTTAAAATTCATCTCCACCCCCCCACCCCCGAGATGCATACCCATTTTTTAAAGTTTCAAAAAGAAAACACAGGATTTTATGTCCTGCGTTTTTACCATCCGTTTCATAAATACATATGTATTGGCAGTACATTGTTTCAACTTAATATAAAACAGATGCCCTTACAGCAATTTAACGAGTATGTGTTTAAAATATGTGTATATACCCCAATTTATTTCCTGATGTGAAACTGCAGTTTTATCAGACTTTTGGAGGAAAAATGCCAAATCATGATCGGTTGTAGTACATTTCATACAAAAGCTCTCTGGAGCAGTGGAGTAGTCTCAGAGGACTGAGTGCTTTTTTATACTTTATGTTCTTTCCTATAAACCTGATTTAGAGAAGTTTGTTGTTGCTGCCTTTCCCTTTACAGACACTTTATAACAACAAACAAGTAAGCATCCATTTATAGTCACTGGTTCATCTCAAGTCTGTAGCGGCCTCTGCTTTCTTCTTGATGGACTTGGTTCTGTTTCGTCCTAAGTTTCTATCTCCAGCCCTAACTGCTCCCCAGACTCCAGCTGCTCATTCTGTCGTGGCCTGGGTGTGTCTAACAGGCCGTTTCAGATTGAAGATAACTAAAAACTGCACCATTGGACTTCCTCCCAATTCCTTGCAACAAACCTGTTCCTTTCACAGTCTTCTTCTTAAAAAATGTGCACACAAGCTAAATAGACAGTTTCCTTTGGCATATGCAAGGGCGATAGAGGGGTGCCCACGGTGTGTTTTCTGGTTAGGGATTGCTATCTGTGCTGTGGGCACCAGCAGCCGCCATTAAGGACTCCGTCTGGCCTTCATCCAGGGCATCAGCTTCTGGTTTTGCTCCCCGAGAACCACCGTGCTGTGTCGTGCCTGGTTGTGCCCTCTCTGGACCTGTTGAACTGGCTGCCATGTACAGAGGCCATCCAGCCTCCTGCGGCCCCTCTGTCCTGCCTTGTGACTCAGTCCCCAAGGAGTTCGTCTCCTCGGCCACAGACCAGGCTGGCGTGGTTTCTCTTTCTCTGAGACTTGTGCAGAAACACGCGGGACGGCAGTCTCCATCATCTCAGTAAATGACAGCCATAATCTTGTTCAGGCCTGAACCTCCGGCATTATCCTTGGCCCTTCACTCCCCGAAGCAGCCCGTCGGTCACTCTGGTAGCCCACCACCCAGCGGCAGCACCTCCCACTTGTCCCCACTGCGGCTCCCAACCTCCAGGCCACCATCATCTCTTCCCTGGGCTGTTGCACTGGCCCCCTGACTGTCTCCTCTGCTTCCACGCTTGTCTTTCTATAACCCGCTCTCTACACAACAGCCAGAGTGATCCTTTCAAAATAGAAATCAGATCCATTCACTCCTTGGCTCAGAATCAACCCAGGGGCTTTCCGTCTCATTCAGAATAAAATCCAAACATGGCTACAAGTTCCTATATGATCCAGCTACCGCCCTGATCTCATATCTCACCCCTCTTCTTACCTACCCTGCTTTGGCCACGCTTGCCTTCCTGCTGTTACTTGGTCCCCAAGGACATTCCCACCTCAGGGCCTTTGCACTTGCTCTTTCTCCTGCCATGAACCTTCCTCACTTAGATATGCACGTGTTCACTCCAGGTCTCTGCTGAAATGTCACCTTCTCCTGAGGAGCTCTCCTGAGCACTCTGGCCTCTGCCTCTTTAGTTCTTTCTTAGCCTTTATCCACATGTGACCTTTTTCTATCATTGAGCTTTATCTGCCTCTCCCACTAGCACTTAAATTCCATTAACACGGGAATGTTCTCTTTTTCCTGACTGCTGCATCCCAGCACCTGCCTGAGGCAGTGATGTGTGGCCAGGACCTAGATGTCCTGATCCGCAGTCCAGTGCTCTTTCCATGATTCCGTGTGGCCTCCTTCCATAGGTGTTAAGTTCCTCAGCACCGTGACTGCATCTTTTATTTCTTTTGCCCCATCCCCCCGTAGGATGCACGTGAGGGGTTCCAGGCGCCTAGTAAATACTCTGGCTTGACTCAATGACTTCCTGTGCTCACTGTGGTCTGTCATCACTTGAGTCACTCAGGGTGTGTTTCACTCTTTGTAGGAGGAAAAGACAGGTTGCTGTTACTCTTCAGATACCCAGGGGCATTTGGAAACTGCAGACAGCCTGAGTGAAAAATCTGACGTGGCAGGAGTCTGGATCTCGATAAACAGATTATGTGTGTTCTGAATTTTGAACATTTTATGTAACTGTGTAACTTTGTGGGGGAGGATTAGAGTGAAACTCACGGGTCCTGTTTAAGCCTGACAGTTTTTACCGGATGTTGGTGTTTCTGTACTTCACCACCTGACGTGCTTAAGGAAAGCGGGTCCCAGGTGTGTTCTTTTGCAAATGACAGAGCCTCCACGGCAGGCGTGGATCTTTTCCAAAGCAACTACTAAAAGGCCCCTACGTTGTATTTTGCAAATTTTTGTGCTCTTGCCTGTGAAGTTTCTTAGGTGACTCTGGTAATCCTGATTGTCCCCCTTGTTTTCACAGGTGATCTGCAATTCGTTCACCATCTGTAATGCAGAGATGCAGGAAGTCGGCGTTGGCCTATATCCTAGGTATGGTGGATGGTGTTTCTTTCACCTAAGAAACAAACGTAATTCCCACCCAGCATCCCAACCTTTGGGAGGTGGTTAGAAAGGCTACTGCAGCAGCTCATTCAAGAACCAGGCTGGAAACCTAAAGATAAATTACAAGAAAATGGAAAATGATCAGTGTAAAGAAAACAATTGTGTAACCCCACATTATATGCTGTGGTATCAACAGAGAGGCAGACCTCAGCCTAAATTCTTGTTCTCAGGAGCTTTGGGGTAGAAGCTGGGGATTGTGGTGCTAGTCAAGTGTCAGGATGGGATTTGGTTATTCTCCCCACCCTCCTGAGCGGAATGAAGGACATGGGTATTTCACCGGACTTGCTGGACTATACCGTAGGGTTCATTTTGTCCTTTAGCTTAGCGTTCTCTGAGCCCCATTGCCCCAGGAGGCAAGAAAACTTTCGGGGTTTGGCCTTCTGAAGTGGTGTCTCTGGCTGTCACGCAAGTGACTCCAGAGTCACTCCTAGTTTTATTTTGTTGTCAGGCCGTTAAAGTCCAAATACAAATATAGTCTTTCTTATAATTAATTGTAAATCTGAGAATTCAGTTTCTTTCCTGACTCCTCACAAGTGTCATAAATTGCAGGTCTATAAGTATTGGTCCCCAAAAAGCAGTAACATAGGATGATTCAGCTCATGAGCTCTGAGTTCAGATCACCTGGTTCAAATTCAGTCACCACTTAACTAGTCCTGTGTCCTTAAGCCAGTCATTTAACTTCTGTGTATGGGCTTCTTCGTCTATAAATGATCCTCGTAAGATTATCATGATGATTACATTTGATAAACATGCTCAGGTGCTAAGAAAGCGCTTAATACATAGTCATTGCTCAGTTCCAGTTATTCTAACTGTTACCAAATACGGTGGCAGCTTCAGTCCCCTGTGGCCTTTTATCTCATGGTAATCACAGGACTGGGCCATGACCAGAATGCATCAGGGTCTAGTTAGCAGGATCACCTGAGCTTTCTATTTAAGAGGCAGTACTCCTAATTATTCTGCGATGTAACCGTGGATGTTCAAGCAGAGGTGGCAGCTTCCCCGAAGGAGCTGAACAAATGAGATCCTGTGTGCAAAAGGTCAGTGGTGTCTCAGCCCTAGTGACTGCCACTCTCTCCCATTATCTCAGGGATGATTTCTTCACAAGGTAGTTTTGGTTTTTTTTCCCCCAGCTTCATGTTGGGTCGCCTTCCTGCCTGGCATCTAATAAGACAACTACCTCCCCACACCGACCCCCAAAAAGTCCTCAAAAAAATTTTATGAACAACTTACCCAATTAGCCTCCATCTTGGGGAACATCGCAGTTCATAAGAAGTGGGCGAGTGACATTTCTGTGAATGCCCCCAGAGGGCTCAATCCCTGGTGCGCCCTTCCCTCAAGCTAAAGTGTCTTTTGCCCATTGTAGTCATGAAATTTAGATGTTTGGCTCTGTCTGCTGCTGAGCCATGACGCTCCCCGTCTTCTTGTTCTTTCCTCCAGTATGTCTTTGCTCAATCACAGCTGTGACCCCAACTGTTCGATTGTGTTCAACGGGCCCCACCTCCTGCTGCGCGCCGTCCGAGACATCGAGGCCGGAGAGGAGGTAAGGACCCCATGTGTCCCACGCCTCTTCCGTCAAAGACCCTCCAAGTGTGGCCCTGCCCTGAAGCCAGTTGTTCCCCTGGGACGGCTTTTCACTGTCCTTCTGCCAAGGAGAAGATACATAATACCTCTACCCAGCGACTGATTTACCCATCATCACTTCTCCCAGGTTATAGATGGGCTAGTTTTTTCTTTTAATCGCCATTTTTCTGGATGATGACAGTTCCTATTGTATGTGTATGCAAGAGGTGTGTGTGTGTGTGTGTGTGTGTGTGTGTGTGTGAGACAGAGTGTATGTGTCTTGTGCATATGACAGTGCAGTGGCCTTTCACATTTCTGCAAGTGGCCACCTTTCCATGGGCAGGGAGGGCAGCCAGCTTGTGAATGAGACCCTAAGGCCACTCATCACATTTTGAAGGTGACTCATATTTACCTTTGTATTAAGAAAGCAAACAAGCTTTACTCTTTGGGTTTGTCATTGGGCCTTTACAAACCTGTCAGCATCTCTGGGTGATTGTTCAAGCAAAGATGTGAAGGGAATAGACGACAGGGAGCATGACCTCCAGCAGTGACTTGGCCTTGACCTTTCTAGGTTAGCATACTGCCAAGCCAGCCTCGTTTGATGAGTAACCTTCTCAGAAGTCCAAGATCACACAAGGCAAATGCAGATGGGCTGCTCCATGGCAGCTGACCCTGAGCCGGCACAGCGTTTGCACAGTTACTACCCTGAATTCTGGCCTATAGATTTTATGCTTTGTAGAACCCAGTTGCCTTCTGCCTTCCAGCTTACTACAGTGCATGTTTATTGCAGTGAAACAGAGTATCATACACTTTTATTGCATTTATGCAGCACGCAGCCAATAAAACCTAAACTCAGAGGCACCATATTTTATGTAGACAAGGATCAGGCATTGACAAGACTCCCTCCAAACTGATTTTCGACTGAATAAGCTGTTCCTTATACAGCCACTTACTGAATTTCCAGTTTTCAGGACGAGGTACACGGGATATCCGTCAACATTATGGAGAACTTAGATTTGTTTTTTTCCTGGGGCCATATGTGACTTCAAGGCAGGTAGTAAAGGGAACCACTATCCACCTTTGGCTGGATTGGTTTGGGAGCTGAGGGATGACTGCTGCTGCTGTTCACGATGATGGTGATGGTGATGCTGATGACAGTATTTTACTAAATTAAAAAAAAAACCAGGTAACTTGATAAGCCAACAGAAAAGCAATTAGAAACAATTAGAGTTTCCAGAAACAACAAAGAGATTTTCTTAAATCTTGTTTTCTAGGTTTGACTCGATATGATTCTCCTCAGTGGTTTCCATTTAGTTGAAAATACACCTTGTCTTTTGGTGCTTATTTCACTTTTTCAGTCCTTCTCTTTCCATCTCTGGAGCAACAAACAAACCCTTCCTCTCATCTGACACAAAATAGTTCCGCCCAGCAACAGGCTCTGCAGACGCCAGTTTTCCCCCCGACAGACCTTGCCAAAGAGGCTTCTCAGCAAAGAGGGGATTCTCCCCGTCACTCCTCCTCACACAAGCTTGTTCAGGAAATACCGTTTTTTCCCTCCCATTACACGTGTCTTGGTGCACAACGCTTTCTCTGCTCCCTTGTCCCCGCTCTCTCTGCCCACCGTTTTTACCTGTCTGAATGTTACCTACCCTTCCAGGCCTCTCACACGCCATCTCTTCTGTAAAGCTTTTCCTGGTATTCCATGTAAAGGAGGATCTTCTCTCTGAGCGCTCCCCGACAGTGGTTATGAACATTCCTGGGGCATTTACCTGGCTCTTTGACTGACTTCTCTGTTCAGCTGCGAGCTTCATGAGGGCAGGCAGTTGCGTCTGACTCCTGAGCCTCCTTGCGCACCAAGCACTGTGACTTGCACCAGGAAGCATTCAGTAACTCCTTGCTGAATTGACTTCCTGTTAAACGGAGTGTGCTGGGCCGCCCAGCAGTGTTTCTCCTTGGGGGCCCTGTTGGCATTTTGGATGGAGCAGCTGTCATTGTGTAGGACTGTCGCCTCACTGAAGAAGGCTGGTGATCCTAGTCCCTGCTCAGTCAGTGCCTGTAGCCACCCCCAGCACCTAAAATGCATCCAGTTAAAACCAGCCCTTTGGGGCAGAGGGAGCAGAGAGGGACAGCCATAACCAAAGGCCTTTGCAGGTTGATTCAGTGGAGTAACTCGTTTTCATCATGCAAACTATTTGCTTTAGTTCAATTAGATAAGGAAGGAAATTTAGAAATTTGAGGTTATTTCACAGCATCAACTTTGCATTTTCGCTTTATTGCTCATTAGGGCACCTCTAGTTTGAGTATGTGCTGTTTGGGATGGAAGTAACGGAATGCAGGCTCCATGAGGGAAGACGCCACCGTGCCTATAGTATTGTAGATCTGCAGTCTGTGTTTGTCGGGTGAATGAATGAGGCTTGCTAAGGACAAAACCAGAGGTGGAGTAGACTCTACCTGCAATTGGAAACTACCACCAATCCTCAGGTGTGTCCTATGGACCCTGGAGAGAAAGTCGCATGAAAGCCAGCCCATTGCCGGGGTCAGATGGGAACATTTCAAACCTCAGACAAGGAGAGCTGGAAGATTGCATGGGGCTCCATGAAAACAGACGTCACCGTGGAAATTTCCTCTCCTTTGTGTTTCTCTCCACGTAAAAGTACCCTTTGCACCATTTCCCTTTAAACCAGCACCATTTATAACACTTAGCTATTTAAGGGTTTTCATTGTAATGCTGAGCTGTTACATATGTTGTGAGTTTGTTTTGTTTTTTTGTTGTCATTCGTGGTGGTTTTTTGGGTGGGTTTTGTTTTGTTTTATTTTTTTGGTTTTTTTTTTGGTTTTTTTGGTTTTGGGTTTTTTGTCTCCTCCTACAGAGAGATGTTTATATTATGATTTAAGTCATGGCTCACATGCTGGGTTGCTGATGGCTGCCTCTTCAGAGTTTTGCTGAGCTACAAAATACATATTATCATCTCACAGCCTCCGAAAACATAAATCAAGGAAGAAAGCTGGACAGTCCGGGCCACCCCCGTGAGAATTCCTGGCGGGAAGAGGTTGGCGCAGTTACAAACCATGCCACTGGCTGCCAGCATTCTTTGGCGCCATATCAGTTGGGAGAAATGTGATTTGCATACATTGAGCTTATCGGTATCCCTAATTTCAGTGTTAATCTAAAGTGTTTGGGGCTTAGGACAGTCTATTTCTTTTCCCAGCCATTTTCACTTATTTGCTAAGTCATTTCACAAACTCACTGTGGTCCTGTACTGAGGTGAGCATTGGAAATACAAAGGTGAGTAAGACTCAGCCTTGCCTTCTGGAGGTCAAGGTATAATTGAGGAAACTGACACAGAACAGAAAACAGTAATAGAATATGAGAAGTACAATAGTGTGAAGGCGCACAGGGCTTTGTAGAAGCTCAGAGCAGGGGCACCCAGGTGGTGGTAAGGGGCAGGGCAAGGGGGTGCTCCAAGAAGCCTTCCAGAGAAGTGACTCCAGACCCTTAAAGCACCCACAGAGGTGAGGTTGGCAAGGATGGGGGAAGGCACGCTAGACAAAGACATGGAGGCCAGAGACAGAGTGGTGACTTCCAGGAGCAGCAGGTGGTTCACATCAGTAGGCTGAAGAATTCAGAGGTGACTGGCAGAGGAGGGATGTGCAGAGACCTGACCCAGAACCCACGGGAGCCTTAGGAGGGAACTCGGTTCATCCGAAAGCTCCGTAACAGTGCCTGCTGCACAGGAGGCGCTCAGGAAATGTTTATGGAAGGGAAGGGTCGGGGACAGGCAGTGGGAATGCCGTTGAAGGGTTTCATCAGAGAAACTGCATGATCAGATTTTCTGTGTGTGGGCAAGGTTGGGAAAAGGGTCTGCTGATGACGTAATCCAGGTTAGCGGTGACGATGGCCTCCTGAAGTCGGGAAATCCAGGTGGTGGCTTGTGTTGGGGCATCTGAAGAGTCTAGTATTTAGAAGCTAAAATGAGCAGGGTTTGATAAGTGACTGGCTACGAGGGCGTAACAGAGAAAAGAGACAAGAATAACACTCAGGTTTGACTTTAAAAAGAAATGAGATTTTTCAAAGTCTTTTTTACAGTTCAGAGCGAGTATTAGTATAAAAAATTTATGATTGTGACAAGTAATTCCAGAAATGAAAACAAAATCTATCTTTAATTTGGTCTTATTAGCCACTCAGTTCTACATAATTAAAAGATGGGCTTCATGGAAAAGGGGTTCATTTGGCCTTGCAATTTTCAAGTAAGCAATATATTCAATATCCAGCAAATATGTTTCATAGTACTCTAATGTTGGAAATGATTTATTGCATTTTCCATAAGAGCTGTACTGAAATGCCACAGCAGTGGTCAGTGGCATTAATATTTTAATGCGATTTTGTTCTATTCCATTAAAGCATCCACTGATCAATGGCAGAGTCTCATATATATGTTCCCACTAAATGAGCCCTACATTTTATTTAGTGAGCAGATTCTCCATTAAAACTGGTGAGTCCGTGAGTCTTTAATAAAGGTTTTCATCTTTGGATGATAAAATGATTTAGCTGCCATTACCAGTTAGTAATCTGGCTCTGTTTCCCGCCCCCCCCAAAAAAATAGGAATAAAGACGTTTTTGCTATTGAGAGCTTCAGCTTTGATACATTGTATTTGGTGAACTTCAACGTCATGAAACAGGCACGAAAGGAGGATGGGGCAATCTTCCTTGGAAGAGGCGTAGCTGAGCCAAGCGTAGTGGAAAGAGGAGAGAGTTCTGAATAAGCCAGGAGTGAAGGAAGGACACTGGCTAGTTCAGGCAGAGATGCATGGTACACATTGGCATCGTGTGCGCTGTTTCAGAAGCGAAGCCATGTGAATAATTGTGACGTACTATAGGGCGTGCAGGGGTGTGGAGGCCAGAAAGGCATACAGAAAAGCAGTTGGAGGCCCTTGTGAGAAACCACCAGCAATCTTCATGTGGAGAAATGACATGATGTGATGTGAGCTGTAGCACAAGCTCTCTCAAAGCAGTTTAGAAGATGAAAGGTAGACTGAAGGCAGCAGGGAGGCCAGTTAGAAAGCCATTGCGCAGTCCGGGTGATGGTTCCAGGCAGTTCCAGGACAGTGAGGGGGGGCTATAAGAGTCTGTTTATTGGGGTTAAATGAAAGAACTAGTCTCCTGTTCCCCATTCGCTGCCTGGCGTGATCACTCATGAGTTAAGCCTTGGGTTAGTCAAGCGTATTTCTCTAGTGTGGCAGGCCCCAGATTCTTCCCACTGGGCACATTGTAATCCCCCAATAGCTACTGCCAGTGGATCTGATCTGATAGCTGGGGCTGATGACTAAGAGCCTGGGTTGGGATATAATGTTCTCTCTACACAAGAGGAACTTGCCTGATATGGTTGCCCTTGTACCTCAGAGGCAGCCCCATCCTGGCTGCAGATCATGAAGCAAAAGAAAGACTTAGGGTATTAAAAAGTGACTGTGGTCTCAGCCGAAGGAGCCCATTTGTCACGGAATGTTGCTTAGCACGGGCTTGAGTGTTTCAGGGTTTTTTTTGTTCGTTTGTTTGGGTTTTTTTTTAGCTGAGCCATCCTGCCACCTGTCGGCAGCTCAGCTTGGACCGTGAATCAAACCAGCGACCCTGTTGCTCAGAGCTCGCACTTTTGAGCGAGCGCTTAACCAGCTGAGCCACTCGGCCGGCCTCGGGTGTTTCAGGTTTTAATGATGCTGCGGCAGCTCCTTAAGAAGCTAGTCTCCCCTACAACCCCCTTCCCCCCAGAAGTACGAGAAGCAGCTGTGTTATTATATGAAAAGTGTCAGGTGTAATCAGAGGTGGGTGCAAACCCCAGATGGACCCAGGGCCTCTGCTGGTTTTCAGTATCTCGTGCCCTGTCTAGGTGAATGCCCGGCACAAAGTAGTGTCATTGTCGACATTTCTTAAGGGCAGGTCCTCCTGTGTCTGTGTGTGTTATGGTTGCCGAACACATGCAGGATGTAGAGAGCCACCTAGCTAGATGAGGCTGTGCCTTCTGTCACCCTGGTGACGGCCATGCTGGAATGGACGGCTCTGGCCAGACCAAACCTCCCGCTCCACTGACTGCTTTCATGAGGCTCTCCTGAAGCTGCATTTTCGTCCGAGAGGATGGCCTCCTGTGCTCGGCCATGCCTTCAAACTAGTAAGGTCGTGCTGTGGAGCCCTGAGATGCTTTCTTTCAAGCCTAAGAAAAACCCCACGGAGTTTTTCCGCTCTAGGGAGGTTTTGTCATCTCTCTCGGCGGATAATCCTGCTTTCTTCCTCTCCTGCAGTGTCCCCTACTCCCCCTCCCACCGCAGATACCCCCATAATGACTTCCTACGTGGAAAAGCAAATAAAGAAGTAATTTATACAGTACATCACAACTGATACATGTTACCAAATAAGGAAAACTCGAGAAGGATAAGGGAGTCAGGAACACTGGGCTGGGGTGGGAAAAGGTTATTTTTAAACAGGGTTGTCAGGTTAGACCTCAGTGAGAAAGTGAGATTGGATTGAAACTCCGAAGAGATGAGGGAGGCCCTCTTAGCAGGCCTGGGGGAAGGACCGAGGACACAGCCAGCACACAGGCCTTGAGGTGGGAGTGTGAGCACAGGAAGCCGGGCTGGCTGGAACGGGAGAAGGGATGAGCTCAGAGAGGGAGCAGGGCTGACTACATGAAGCCACCGCTTTGCTCACTACTTGTTACCGTGTTTCCCCGAAAATAAGACCTAGCCGGAGAAGAAGCCCTAGCATGACTCCTCCAGGATGTGGCAGGCACGCAGCCCTCACATGAGGGTTTTATGATCTGTTTCAGGGAAAAGGGTTCCTTTTCCACAAACCCCTTCAGCTTAAAATATTCAGGATGCCAAGGGGCCATATTTTGGCACCTAAAATCGTGCGAGGGCTTATTTTCTGGCTAGGTCTCATTTTCAGGGAAACAGGGTAGGAAGGACAATTTCTTTTCCTAATCCACTGCAGGCTAATATTTCTTGTGACATTTAATGACTAGATTACTAGAAAAATGACGTTTAAAAAACGAGGAACGTGAAATCCCACTCCATTGTTTTATTATTAGAGTCACAGAAAGTTTGTCATACCAAGTTCCTATCAAGTTTCTAAACATCAGCTTTGCATTTCTTTACTTATTTCATGGCAGACTAGTAGCCTGAGGGACTAGCAGCTGTCCAGGAACCCCACTTTGAGTTGTGGGAGTCCGTGGTGAGGACGTGGCCTTTAGTCTAAGCAGCAGGGAGCCATGGGAGCATCCCAAACCAGGAAGATCAATCTGCTCCAGCTTCCATTTGCAGAGCGTCCTCTGGAAGGTGGAGAGCAGGGGTCCCAGGGAGAAGCAGGGAGACGCATTGTGACACTTGCATTTCACAGGCAATGGATGATGGTGGCCGAGACCAGGATGGTAGCATCAGAAAAGGTAGAAAGTGCTTGGCTCTGGGTATATTTTTAAGGTTGAGCGCACAGAATTCCCTGGTGAGTTGGATGGGGGATAGGTAAGAAAGAGACGTCAAGGACGACCCCGAGGGTTTAGGTTGGATAACACAAAAGGTGACTTACTGTCGACTGAGATTGGAAGGCTCCAACTGAGATGGATCAGGTTAGGGGGGTGGGGAAAATGGAAATTCAATTTTGTACATTTTCAATTAGACTTTCAGTACCGAGGAGACCTAGTCAAGTGAGAAATGTGTAAACATCATGATGTTACCTAAAGATGTATATCTTGAAGTGGAATCTTAGGGCTGGAGAGAAACCTGAGGGGTCCCTGCAGTGTGCCCTCTGACCTATGACCTTTCACCATCCATGGCAGGCTATCGTTACTGTATTCGAAAGGGTCCAAGGAAGTCAAATTAAGAGGCTCCGTTAGTGATTGCATTCAGACATTCAAGTCTCCCTATTTGGAAATTACTGCCCCCTCTTTTGTTGTTGTCGTAATCTAGTGGCAAGTAAGAGAACAGTCTCCTAATTATAAAGATACCAAATCTGATTGACCCTAAATTCCATGACACAGCTGTAGAATCGATTAAGATTCAAGAGCAATCTGGCCACATCATCTGCCACCCACTTGGTTGCCAGGATTATTTTGGCTTCTCTGATTACCAATGGTTATAGATTTTATTACCAAACCTTAGTAACACCGAACAAGTAATAGCTCTTCATACTTTACCACCTAGTGAATAACAGTAAGGCGTAAAAGAGTCTACAGCTAATGCACCCAGTTCTTTAAATATATAGTATATACGTGCTCACCACGTAACAAAGACTGGAAGGTCACGGATTAAAAATTTTACATGTGATTATTTGGGTGGAGACGCTGTAAGTAATGTCTTCTCTCTCACACTTTTTGGTTTGTATACAAACATGTTTTATCTTAATAATTAGCAATAGCAATAGCCATTTGTTACAGCAAATGGGCCACAATAGCCATGTGGCCCTGCTTCTCTCTGGCCCCACAGCTCACCATCTGCTACCTGGACATGCTGATGACCAGCGAGGAACGCCGGAAGCAGCTGCGGGACCAGTACTGCTTTGAATGTGACTGTTTCCGATGCCAAACCCAGGACAAGGTACGTTGTGTGGAACCAGCCTGAACCACCTCCCAGGTAATATCCCAATGATCTTTCCAAGAGCTCTGTTTTTATTTCTTCCATGCAAAAGTGGATGAGACTCAGTGCATAGCAGGAAACAGAAGTCATACAATCACACATAGTGCTGCATGTATTTTATTTGCTGGAACTTCTGTCACCAACCAAGCAATAAGAGGTTTAGTATCAGGTGAGGATCCATGGAGCTGGGAGTCTAGAGGGGCTGGAGGCATTAAACGTGTAATTAAAATGACGTGCAAGGCCAGAGTGCTGTTAGATCACGTAATAAGGGGGTTAAGTGACATTGTCATTGGTGACAGCTATTGCTCAGTGATAAATATACCAAGCTGTATCTAGTTTTTTATTTCCTTAAAATTTATTCTGTAAGGCTTTTTGCTTCAACACTTTATCAGATAGCAATCACTTCTCTAGCAATTTTTACTCCCTGAGAAAGGAAGAAGAGCCAAAATAAATGTCATGATGATAATGAATGAGCTTTTCTCATATTACTCATATGCTTTCCTCACACTGAAGCTATTTACTTTTAGTTTGCACACAATCCGCTTATCTGATGGAGTCTTACTTTTGTAGTGTGTTTTACATTTGTTGGAATTCTTTTGTGATCATTATCTCACTTGAACTCAATAATTATAAATTAGGAAACAACTCAGGTTCAGAGAGACACTTGTGGGACTAGGATGAAGGAAAGAGTGGCAGAGCCAACCCCCAAACCCAGACCTTTCGACTAAATCTAGTGTTCTTTCCACTATATCACAGCTACCCGTGACCTCTGGTGCCATCATTATAGAGAGAGCTTGTTGGTTTCACTGTGTGAAGAAGGATCATGAGCTCAATCTAATGATGTAGGACTCAGTGAACATTAGTTCTTCATCAAAATCGCTTTTAGAAATAGGTGAATTAAATGGAAAAAGTTAGATCCACTGCTAAAAGCTTTGCAAGACTCAATCAGTCTACTTTTTAGCCTTTTGCCACTCCCAAGCATAACAGGAATCACAGGGGATCCCCTGGGACTTCTCCCCAGACTGTAATCTGGAGTGGCAGGCAGCAAGCTAGCTTCCCAACCACATCCTTGGTTGGGGCTTGGAAGGCTTTCGGATTTAATGCCTCTTGCATGACATCATTATGGCGGACCCTCAAAAATGTCGTGAGTAAGTGCTTATATTTTATTAAAATCGGGGTCATGTTCTCTTTTGCTTTATTGTTATCGTTGAAATCTGGCTAGACTAGTCTATTAGGAAATAACAGATAACCCTACTAAAACTGATTTTAGTAGATGCGGTGTTATTTGTCTCATGAATCCTGGAGAAGAAGTCCGAGACGGGAGCTACTTCTAGCTCTCATCATAGACCCAGAATCCTTCTGTCTTCCTCCTCAGCCATCCCTGGCATGTGCTTTTGTCCTCATGGTCCCAGGATGACAGCTGCCCCACCCCCACTCAGTATGGCCAACTCTAGATATGAAGACGCAATAAAAAGTAAAGAGCAAAGGGATTTCCACCTACATCATATTGTTCAGAACTGTGTCATGTGGCCCCCTTTGGCTGTGAAGGAGGTGAGGAAACTGCTGGTTAGCTTTTTGGCCTTTATACTAGAGGAAGACAAGGGAGAAGAAGGCTGTGAATGGCCTTTGGTCAGCTGATCTAGTATCTACCATATCCATTGAGACCATTTTTTTCCCTCCTTGGAGCTAGAAGCTTGATTAATATTGTATTAGGCTTCTTCAGAGAAAAGAACCAATAGGATATATGGGGTGTGAGTGTGTGTGTACAGCCCTATTACCTCATATATATGGTGTGGGGGGGGGCAGAGAGAGAGAGAGAGAGAGAAATTGATTTATTGTAAGGATTGGGTTCATGTGATTGTGGAGGCTGAGAAGTCCCGAATCTGCAGTCAGTACACGGAAGACCCAGGAGAGCTAATGGTGCATGAGTAGTTCCAGTCTGACCCAGGAAAAGCCAATGTTTGAATCTGATTCTGATGCAGGGAAAAGTGATGTCCCAACTGGAAGGCAGTCAGGCAGGAGGAGATCCCGCTCCCTTGTGAGAGTGTCAGCCTTTTGCTCTATTCAGGCCTTTCACTGACTGGGGGAGGCCCACCCATTGGGTAGAGTAGTCTGCTTTACTCAGTCTAGGATTCAAATATTACCCTTATGCAGAAGTGCCTTCACACACATACCCAGAATAATGTGTAAGCAAATATCTGGGCACCCTGTGTCCCAGTCAAGTTGACACGTAACATTAATCACAAACACTGTGTTAGAGAGAGACCAAATGGCATAATCAAAAAGTACTTAATTACTCTGCTAGATTCTAGTCCATTCAGTACCTAACAAACTGAGTGGTCTTAGGCAAGTCATTCAGCCTTTCATACAACTCAGTAGCAAAAAAAAAAAAAAAAAATCTGATTAAAACCTGGGCAAAAGATCTCTTACCAAAGAAGACATACAGGGGCTGGCCGAGTGGCGCGATGGTTAAGAACTGGCTGGGAACGCCAGAGGGCCCCGGTTC